AGTAAAAGCTTAATTTTCTTTTGTTGTCATTTGCTTTTTAGGAGATTTAGAGCTTGAATCTTCTGAGAAGACTCTCCCTGTGAGGCATCCACACCACATTCGCAAAAGAAGAACTAAAGATAAGGCCAAGAGCATTATAAAGAAGGTAAAAGGAGAAGAAACAAGAGTGTATACCTTTCTTCGACGCGGCTCGGGTGATTCTAGGAGGAATTGAGGCAGCAGGGGCAGACTGTGTAGTAGCAGTCACAGGAATCGAAGTGGTAAGAGCAGTGGAAGAAGTAACAATTCCAGCCTCTTTGGGCTTGGGCACATCCAATACCATCAGTAGGTCTTGAGGAGGAATGGCCAGGTATACTTCCATATTGGTCGCCCACCAGTTGTGGTACCTCTTCAACATGTTACCTTGAGGAAGAAATGGGATATACTCAAAATCGATCAGGTCTTGTATAAACTTAGAAGTTGCCTCTTCCAGTCTGGACCGTCGAACTTTCAAATCCCTGGTGGTAAGGCTTAAATTGGTATTACTGCAGAGGGGTATTGGGACCCCTTGTGAGAAGTCAAATTATCTAGCAAATTAAGCAGGACAGTAGGGCTCAGCAATGCATTTATAAGCTCTGGGGTTCAAGGTCCCAATGAATAATTCTCTAGGGGTTAAAATAGAAGCCTATATGTCTTTTCTATCACTTAAGAAATTCTTCAACCAAAGTGGGCCAATGGTGATGGGTTCGAAAGGATGAAAACAGTAGGAAGGAAGAGAAACTGGAAGTTGGTGGAAGAATGAGAAGTAAAAAGCAAAAGTAGAAGGATAAAGTGAAGCATTGGCTAGCCTCATGCCATGAGTAGGAGGGTTGGGTTCAAAAAATTTAAGGCATTTGGATTGTAACTCAGTGAAATAAGCAAAAAGCCAAAGCTGAAGAATCCAGAATGGCCCCCCTTGATTGGCATCTAAGGGTTTCTCATAGAAAAGAGAACAAGCTCTATATACGTGACCTAGAACGTATGGAGCTAAAGCCACCCTCTTTTGTAAAACAAGGGCTTTGGCAAGAGAGGCAAATTCGGGCATGATTCTTTGAGAGGAAGTGCAAAAAAGGAATTTGCAAAGCCAATATAATAAGAAAGAAAAGAATTCCCTATCGGTCACAGGACCATCTCTTCTATTCTCAGCCTTGATAAAGTCACTATAGGATGAGTTAAGAGAAGGAAGGGAAAAAGGGACTGCTAGGTCAGGATAATCCGGTCCAATGGGGGATCCAATGGGAGATAATCCTAAAAGATGGCAAATGTCAAGGATAGTAGGGGCCATCATCCCACATCTAAATTGGAAGAAATTAAAAACAGAGTTCCAAAAGCACAGAGCAGCAAGAATCAAGAAAGGGTCTTCAAGAATAGTTAACCTGGATAATCGGAGGGCATCTAGAAGGCAGAGTTCTTGAAGGTCCAGAGTCCTATTAGGGACAACTCGATCATACTATTCTTGCCACTCTGGTCTCACTGTGGGCCAACATCGGTGGGAGCGATTCGTCTTCTAGTTCCTTCAGTCAAGGCCACCTTCGTAAAGAAGACAATGGTCTTCTAGACGAGGATATAGAGCTGAAAGCTTAGTAAGGATCTTCTTGAATATTGGCCCAAGCACATAGTCTTGTTGCTCATGACGACGAGGGATGAAGATGCGTCCATCGATGACACTTTTCTCCCTAGTCTTGTACTTCTCACATTCTACATCGATGATTTTCTTCAGGGTTACAGATGGGCTCGCACGCTCTATGACTGGCACTTTCAATGAAGAGGAAGCCATTGATAGAACACTTTTTCGGAGGATGAAGCTGAGAAGGGAAGCAGAGAGAAGTGGAAGATCAGTAGAGGTAAAGGGTTTGTGTATTGAACGAGCGAATGATTTCAGAGCACAAAATAAAAAGGGTTTTTAAAAGGAAAAAAAACTTTTGTGTCCGGAAGACATGTCGCGTAATTCGTTAAGTACCGAGCTTCCTCCAATACTGATACTTTTGGAGGGAAAAACACATCCCAGATGTTGAAGCCAGCTTCGAAATAAGTATTTGGCTTCGAAACCAAATTTTGGCGCCAAAAGTCAAATAACAAATGACTTCGAAGCTAAAAAGCCAGCTTCGAAGTACATTTCATACTTATGGATGAAAGAGTGCTTAGGTATTAGTTTACTTCGAAGAAATTAAAGACCTGTTTTAGGTTTCTCAAGGAAAGTAATGTCCTTCGAAGCAAGACTTGAGATCCCTTAAGGGTGAGAATTACTGTTCGAAACATCAGAACCAATAATTGGTTTGTATTTAAGAAAGATTTTCTTTCTAGACTAAAACAGTGCAGCCCTAAAAAGGAGCTTTCATATTTTTTTTGAAACTGTTATTCTAAGGAAAAATGGTCAATTTAAAACTGATTAATCATACTGACCATGACCATATGTTGGTTATGATCGAAACAAGCTTTAAGGAGTAAGATTGTTAAATTCGAAGCACCAATTTTAAATAAAATCAACAAAAATTGTTAACTATATTCCATAAATTGGATAGGTTCATTGTTGGTTCTTTTAGTATTTCATTTAAAACAATCGAGTCCAAGTTCGAAGGATAAGCTTGTTCAGTTCGAAGCTCTGAATTTGCTTTTAAAAAACAAACGGAGATAAGATCAAACCATACCAAACAAAGAAAAGGTCCTAGTGGTATTAAAAACCAAAGCAATTACATTGAATAGCCCTATTTGGGTACAAACTCAAGCTCATAAAAATAGGGAATGGAATAAATGACAAGATCATGAAATTTGGTCCAACAATGATCAATGAATTTATGTTCTTTCTTTATTCTATCCTCTATTTCTTCTAACATTGGCTGCATGAGTTGATGTGCTCTCACTTCGTAAAAGAGCTATTCAGCCTTTATTTCAAATGCTGTTTCTCTTAATCCTTGTTCCTTCAGCCTTTATTTCAAATGTTGTTTCTCTCAATCCTTGTTCCAATTCGTCTATCTTTAAGTCATCCCAATACGCAGAATCTTTGTTCTTGAAATCATCGAATTCTTCAATGAAGTTCTCTGCTTCGTACTGGGCATGAATTCGAAGGGACGAAAGTTGGTCTAAAGATTGTGTGGTGACCATAGAGGTCCGATGCTAGTGGAGAAGCAATGGAAGTTGGTCCAAAAACATGTGAAGTTCTGCTTGGGCGAGGGGATTGAGAACATGACCCCGAGTCAGAATATCACAAGCCCATCGAAGGTTCTTAAAAGGGACTTCGTCCTCAAGAACATTGAATGGCAAGTGAGAAAAAGCCGCGAGCAGAAGTTGAGCTTGCTTCCGCTCAATTGGAGTAGGGGAAAGGGGAGGCTTATAGGGTGGAAAGATCTTATCTGTGGAAAGGGCAAGCCTCAATCTCTCTGTCCAGCAAGGATTTAACGGAGGGGAAGGTATGGATGCCTCTATTTCAGGAGATGGAACAAGGGCAGAAGGAACAAGGGCATTAATATAATCGAGCCAGTCAGAAGAACAAATCTTTGCCTTCTGGGCTAAGAATGATGGATTGTACCCTTGTGCCTCTTCTAAGCGTCGGGCGGCGTGCACTATCTTTGTTGGTATGGAGGATGTATACCATGCTACAAGCAGATTCTCCTCCAAACTGCGTCGATGGTCAAGGGGCACGTAGGGATAGACCACCGAGCTTCGTGCATAAGAAGGGAACTCTAAAGGGTCAGTAAATTCGACAAAGTGATGGTTGATTCGTTCCCTCAAATCACAAGCCTCAGGTTTTGACCAGCTTGTCCAGTCGGAAGCACCAGAAGAGGAAGAAGTCGCAACCTTGTCCCATGCAGAGGATTGTGAAGAAGAATTTCCCATGTATATATTTGTAACTTTCTAAATCAAAGGACTGAGAGCCGTTTGTTCGTAGTCCAAGGGTGAGTTAGAAGAAGAACTTTCCATGTCCATATTTGTGAGTTTCTGAATCGAAGGATCAAAGGCAATATGTTCGAAGTCCAAGGGTTGATAATTTGCAAAGGCATCCATGACCTGAATATACAAAGGTGGGTAAAGGTGGCTAATTAATGCATGGAGGTTCTTTCGAGGGGGAAAAACATCGTCATATGACTCTTCGTGTGTTCGATCATTGGAAGAGAAAATTGATTCGGCCATAAAATGTATCAGTCTGTTCGAATGCTAAGGTGGCGGGGGGTTCAAAAGATTGAAGGAGAGTTTAATGCAGATAAATGACAGTTGCATTTCTGGGAAAATGCAAAACCTATGCACATTCTAAGACGTGGAAAAAAGACCTTGATCCACTAATATCACCAAGTATTGGGTATATTAGTGCGGGGGGTAATATTGGCTACATATTTTGTACAAGCCAATTACAATTCGACGCATGGCAAAGTAAGGGTAGTACGGGAAGACTATTCAAATCTTCGATCTTGATCTTACACGTGTCAGTTAATATTGGTTATTACGAGATCTGAGTAGCAGTGGATCAGCAGAGAAATACAAAGTGACGTGGCATCTTCGGTTACTCACATTTGAATTCAAATTCAGGAGGGAAGCCTAACTACAAGTGATGGCGTAATGGAGCTAATCTTGAGGCAACATGATCAGCGATCATGGAGGAGCAGTTCGACGGTTGGAAATATAGTTCGATGGTCATCCTTAAGCAGTATAAATAGCAGAGAAGGCCCTAGAAAAAGGCCCAGACTTAGATCCAAAAAACCAGTCTTATTCTACTTTACTTAGTTTTACATGTCATGTTCTTTACATTCCAGTACTTTAAATTCTACACTGCATTTCATTCATAGGAGTAGTTTTCAAGTAGATTGTCGCTATAAACCTCTACGAGGCTGAGTTTGAATCATTGTAAGTTTTTCATTCTAATTAAATGTTTCAGTTGTTCTTTATTTGATTGGTATTTCGTTTAATTCTCCTAAATCAAGCCACCGGTAAAAGTCCTCTTCATTGAGGCTGAGAGAACTAAAACACAATCGTCTGATAATCAGTTGGCAATTAAATTTCTATAAGGACTGATTGATCCTTACTGGCACGCTTGCAATTACAATAATAACATTCGAAAGCTAAAAAGCCAAAAAACCAACAATTTGCCAAATTGTTTTTAGGTCAAATGAGACTCACTTATCTGAAGGAGTTGATCTAAGAACTACATCAAGAACTTGTATAGTTTCTTGGGGGACATCAAGTTGTCTGCTGCATAGGAACTGTTGCAGGTGATGGAGGTCAGCTTTGGCAGCAAATTTGATTGCCATCCTGAACTCAAGTTCTCTCCTGCAATTAGAACAAACAGGACATTAAATACTAATTGAACCACGAGGGTAATTTTCAAAAACAGATAAATACATAATTTGCAAAATTGACTAACAGATGTAAAATATTTCGTCAGACTGCAAACAGTTTGCCTGAGAAATGGACAATAGATTCATTGTCTCAACACTTCTAGACACTTTTAGGAGCCCAACAACTCACAGAACTTTGGCTGCCGGGGGGGGAGAGAGAGAGAGAGAATTATGTTTATTATCTTCAGTCACCAAAAAACAATCAAGGACCCCTATGCAATCTGACATAGAAAATTAAACAAAATCGTTTATAAATTTGCAAATACACAGTAAGCCTGAACCTTTTGTCTACATTTCAAGAATAATTGTATAATCCACTATACTCGTGCACGTATCCACCAACAGTAGTAGATGCTGAAGGAAAGTAGGGGAATCACCTTGAGGTAGTATCTTTTTCAACCAGATTTACGACAAAGTCCTGAGAGACAAAAGGCAATGGCCCTGCTGTGTACAAACTTTTCCTGCCATCATAAGCTGGACATCGTTTGCCCAAGTGAGACTCCTGATATGATGCAATAAGCTCATTCACTATTTCCCTGCAGACTTTCTTTGAGGTAACTTCAGGTGCTATTGTCACCTAAACCATCAATTGGAATTGTATAATTACAATTGTAGAATAACCACCAAAGAAACTAAGTAGAAAGAAACCAATTATAATGCAACCCAAAGCAAACTGGAAACCAAAGACTCGATACATTTGACTGGCCACAAAATTCAAGTATTAACCATGTCAGCAACAAAACAAAATCGGATTAAAATGTTCCAATATGGCTTGTGCCTACAGACAGGCATATGTTATACATGATGGTACACATACACTAAGTCCTTATTTGATTAACAGAATTAATATTGAAATGATTAATACTCCTACAAATTAGTATAGGATTAGTTATCTAATTAAATTAGTGAGATAACTATTTATTTTGTATTCATTTTTTTTTTCTTTCATATTTGAAATTATGATCATATTCACCAATTTTGTCGGATTGAATGTCTGCATGATTGCGAGTCCATGACTAACAATCTCAATCCTATGCTATAATCATACTAATCAAACATGCCAAAATATATTATACAATAGAGCCCAATCCTTGTTCATAATCATGTACAATCAGAAAGAAATTTTGGTAGAATGCATAATCAATAGTGTTATATTCATTCACATCAATAGTGCTATCTAATTGTGTTATATACATTCATATCAACAGTGCTATCTCCATACATTCGCATGGTCATTACACATTTTCTACATTCGGAGTGAATGTATAGAAGATGAAAACGCCGCACAAAATAATCAAATAAAAAATGCACAGTGAGCGACAAATAATAATATTCGAATCCACACACAAAATAAATAAATAAATAGTTAATCTGTTACAAAAACGAACACTAAAAAATAAATATATAGATCAAAATCTGTAACTATCAGAGCATACAAATAGAACAAAACAGAACAAACCATTAATCTCTAGGAAAACAAGAAGAGAAAAACGCATAGAAATAAAAATAAATATTTAATCACTCGATCAACATGTATGAAATCAACAAATACACAGCAGATAACAGATACATACATAAATATATATATATATATATAGATAAAATTCAGGTGAGATTCTCACGTCATAGTGGTGGAGATCTCTATCAGCAACATCGACGAGAAAATGATTCGCACGAACAATGCATCTCCGGCCGACTGTTCCGTAACCGGGCCTCGCCGGGGGCCGGAGAGACTTCATAGACGACGGCGGCTGAGCCGGTTTCTGCACGAACGACGAAGACTGAGCCGCCGCTGGAGGAGGAGATTGCAGGATCAGCTTCTGCTCGACGTCATGGCTGAGAGACGACGACAGCGTCGGAGGCGGCTGTGAGCTTGACATCACCGACGACTGAGCGCTAGGAAGAAATTGAGTAGACTGCTAAAAAGCGAAATGCTAGAGAGTGAACGTGTACGAGTGGGAAGACTGCACTGAGCGGTTAGTAACGTTGCTTTGGATGGCTTATAAAGCGCTTTTTTATTTTTCTTTTTACAAATACCTCTCGGTTAAAATTTTTTATTTAACGAAATTAATTAAAAAAATAAAATTTTAACTATTCATCTATATAATAATAAAATTATTTAAATTATTAATTGAAATAAAATTTTAACATTATTAAAAGTGATTAATTGACTTGATGATTTACTAATAAAATGACCTATTTATTATAAAATTAGAAATTTTAAGAGGCATAATGTAATTTTTAAAATCACACAGAATAATTTATAATTTAAGTAAATTTTAGAAAGTGTGTTTATAATTTATCAAAAAAACGAAGGATGTGAGTTGACGTTTAACTCACAATTGTCTATATTATTATATTGAGGCCTCGTTTGGGAACAGATTAATTTAGTAATTTTTTGGTTATTTGGGTAAAAAAATAGGTAAAAAAAACTTATATGTTTGGGATGATTTTTTGGCTAATTACGAAAAGATGTGCAAAAAGTAGAGAGAAAAGAGAATCTTTGACTTTTTGTATGAGTTATTGACTTTTTGGCTAAAAATATAACTTTTTGACTTTTTGACTAAAAAGGTAAGTCCCCAAACGGGGTCTGAGTCTCTATTTTAATTTTTTAAAACTTTTATTATGTGACATTTACATAATAATAAATAAATAAAAAATACTCCACAAAATTTTTTTACTAAATCATATTTTTAAATAACTATTTTATAATAACTTTTTTTTTTTATCTTCCCTAATATCTTACTTTTATTATTTTTTATTTCATTCTCTTTTTATAACGAGTCTCCCTTTAAAGAAAATACAAAAATATTTGATTTAATTATGACAAAGAAAAGCGAAGGAGTAGAAGATTATCTTCAATATTATAAACAAAAAAGATAGGAGTGGTTTGGTAATGACTTTTTTAGTTGTGTTTTTAATTTTTTTAATCTGAGATTTTTTTATTTGTCTTGTTTTTTTGTTTGACTTTTTTAACTTTTGGTATTGGAATAACAAAATTACCCTCCACTTAAAATTGATACTTTTTTAACTTTTTGTTTGTATATGGATTATTTTGATGATTTTATAATTTTTTTTTTATCTTTTTGTGATTTTATAATTTCTTTTTGTCTTTTTATGATTTTTTAATCCAAATGATTTGCTAAACCAAAGCTCAATAAGCAGAGAGAGAGAAAGTAAAGAGAGAGCAGAGAGCAGACCCACATTCAACAACTTGACATCCACTTCCATTTCTTTCTTGTGTCCCTTAAATTTGGGTTGCAAGAAAAATAATAATAATAAAATAAAATCTTAAGAAATGTGTATGGAATTATTTAGGATAATCTAATTAAATATATTTTTTAATCTTTTATAAAAAATAAAGAGTGATTTGATTTAAAGAAGTGCACTTATTTAGAGGATTGTATTTATTTAGAGGATGTTTTTGGATAATCTAAATAAATATACTTTGTAATTTTTTACGAAAAGATATATAAAAAATAGAGAGATAATGTGACCTAAAAAAGATAAAAAGATAAATAAAACAACTAGTGGCTTAGTGGCTTCTAAAATAAATTTGGTTTAAATATTTTATGTTTAATATGTTTTTTTACTTACAAGAAATACTAAAGTGTGTATTACATGTATTTTATAATTAAAAAATACAATAACATAATTTAATACTTTATGAGTCATAACTAAAAAAAATGTCATAACTAAATATAACATAAGATATAATTAAAGAATTTATGAGTTATAATTAAAAGAATATCATAATTAAATAAAAAAGTTAATGAGAAATTACTCATAAATCCCATTTTGATAAATGTTGCGCTGGTTAGTCCTGAATGTTTTTTATTAAACCATTTAGTCCTGTTTATGATTTCTCTCCCTTCCGAACATCAACAACATCAACTACATCAACTACATCATCACCATCAACAAACATCAACTATATCACCAACGTCACTAAAAAACATCATAAAAAATCAACCGTATCCAGAGAAACCCAGGTTCGATTTTAATGGTGTTACAAATAGATATTATTCAATGATGTTTAATCTGCTTCAAGCCTACCTCCTGTCCACCATCCCAACCTTCCCCTCCACCTTCATCTCCACAAACTCCTCCACCGTATCCAGCACCAGCCTTATTGCGTCCACCGATTCCTCCGCCGCCGCCGCGATCTCCGCCCTCAGCGCCACCGACTCCTTCCTCTTCGCCAACAGAAACCTCACCAATCCCTTCGAATCCATCCTCCGGCAACGCATTCTCAACACCTCCGACAAACTCCTCTCTCTTCCGTCGCCCTCAGCCTTCTCGATTATGAAGGCGGTGGAGTACGAGGCCTCATCCCTACTCCGCGAATCAGATCTGGGTTCCGAACCCATCTCCCTCTCTCTATTTCTCACAGAGCCGATCTAAGATGTGGGTTTTTGAGATGTGTTCCGAATCAGATCTGGGTTTCGATCTGAGATGTGTTCCGAATCAGAGCCGGGTTTCGATCTGAGATGTTTTTGATGTTATGATGATGTTTTTTTTTTTTTTTTTTGAACCAGATGTTATGATGATGTTTGAACAAAAAAATTGTTACGATGATGTTAGATCAAAAAAAAAATTGTTATGATCATGATGTTTGATCAGAAAAAATTGTTTAGTTTGACGGATGATTTTTAGTGTTTGTTTGATGATGTTAATGCTGATATTTTGATGATGTTTGTGGGTGTTTCACGATGATCAGATTATCAAAACATCATCAAATCAAGAACACCCAATAGGCCCTAACATCATCAAAAATGTTTGATGATTATTTGATGATGGTGGTGGGTGTTAACCCATTTACTAATGTCTTTACATTAGTTGAACATCAGATTCTTTGTTCAGCATGTTTGGTCCTAACCCACTTGATAAACAGCAGAACATCAAATGTTCTGTTTTTGATGATCATCGGTGATAATCTAACAATCAAATTTTTTGTTTTGGTGTTCGATGTTTTAGCATCTGTGTTTGTGGGTGTTTGAAACATCATAAAAAAGGTATATAATCTGATGTTTGTTTGATGATTATAATGTCTGATGTTGATGATAACCGGATGAACACCCACAAACATCGGATGAACCCCGTTAAACATTAGGGTTATTTTAATCGTTATTTTGATGTTTAATCGTTACTAAAAAAATTGTTTAATCATTATTTTTGATGTTGTTTTGATGATAATGTTGTGATGTTTAGTTTCAATTTTTTTAAAAATAAATTTGATGTTTTAATAGTTGATGAATAATGTTTGATGCTTGATGAACAATCTTAATGTTTAATAGTTGTGTTTGATGTTTGATTATAACTTCTGACGTTACTAATGTTTGATGTTTGATGAATAATGTTTGACATAAAAAGGCCTATAGTAAGCTTTTAGAGAAATAGGACCTATTAATCCAACAAAAAACATTCGGGACTAAGTAGATTAACATTTTCAAATTTAAAATTTATTGGTGCTTTCCCCAAAAGTTAATCATAACTTAAAAAAGTGTATAACTAAAAATATAAGGCGCGTCTATTAGAATTTTTCCGCACTTTATGAATGTGTAATGTTGATGATATTTTGTTCTGTTTCAACTTTTAAAATTTTTGAAATTAAAATGAATCTTTTTTTAACTTTTAACTTTAAAACACTGGTGTGACAAATAAAGTTGGGGTGGATTGGGACTAAAATATTAATAAAAATATAAATTAAATTTTTTAGTTGTAGATTAAAAAATAATATATTGAAATTATAATTATTTTATTTTTTCTCTCATAAAAATTAAAAAAATTAATAAATAAACTATTTAGCTTAATAAGACAAAACATCACATTCAACCCATAATCATTACAGAAAATTTTAAAAAAAAACTAAAAAACTTATTCTAAATAAAAAATTTTAATCTTAAACTAAAATAATTAAAAAAATCAAAGGTTAATCCACATTCCGAATGGATTGTTTCCTCGCTAGTGAAGTAATGAATTTTTTAAGGAGAATTTTACAGAAATGGTGTATGAAGTGTTTTACCCGTACTTTATGAATGTGTAATGTGAGCAATAATCTTCTCCTTGACTCTGCTACTTAATTCTCTACTTGATAGGCTATTGGGCCGACTTTTGGATCGAATTTTAATAATTTGAATCGTTCATATTTTAAAATTTGTCATGTATATCATACTTATAAAAAATCAAGTCGATCGAATATAAAAAATTACGTGAACTAAAAGTTTTATTAAATAATAAAATTATTTATTAAATTTTTTTTAATAAACGGCTTTTAGTTCTTTCGATATTCAATCAATTTAATTTTTTACAGGTATGATGTATATTATAAATTTTAAAATATGAACGATTTGAATCATCAAAATTAAGCCCAAAAATAAACCCAATATCCCATCAAGTAGGAGTGTCAAGGAGGAGATTCTTGCTCATGTAATGTTGATGATACTTTGTCCTATTTCAACTTTTAAAATTTTTGAAATTAAAAGGATTCTTTTCTCAACTTTTAACTTTAAAGTGTTTCCTCGCTCATGAAGTAATGAATTTTTTAAGGAGAATTTTACAATACAAAAATGTTTTATACCTCCACTGGGGGTCGGTGGAGGACTGTGATTGGGCGAAAAAAAATTATTATTTTTTTATTTTTTATTTTTTTGGTTGTCAGCCAGTGGGGGTGCGCCACCTCACTGGGGGTGCGACCCCCACTTGGGGTATTTAGCAGGGCTCACATAATGGTGCATAAAGTGTTTTACCCATGTTAGGTGGTGTTTGGGATGAGTTAAATTGAATTTTTTTTTTTGTATATCAACAAAGTATTAAGTGATATTATTCTTTTACTAATTACAAATATATATATTCCTTTGTATTCCCTAAATAGCCAATAATATGGCTCATATTTTACTAGCTTCCATCGATTATAATAGTGAAAGGTATTATATGGATATGCTCTATCTAGATACAAAAATCACTCATTATTGGTTAAAATAGTAAATAAGGACAAAAAAAAAGCTTCGTTTGGCATGAGTTATTTTGGTTAGATTAGC